AAAGTAACTGGCGGTAGTTGTGTTCTAAATTAAATTAGCTTATTAATACAACCTGGATTAAGGTAATTGGAATCATAGTGCATTAAGGTAATTCATGTAATAAAGTTGGTAGAATTACCGTAATTCATGATGTTTTCACATAGTACAAGGTAACTTATGGTGGTATTATGGATTTTAGGGTAAATAATGGTGGTATTATAGGTTTAATAATAATCTTTATTTCTACATGTACAAGGCATACAGTCCATAGCTGACATCAATGACAGTTCATAGCTGACATCAATGACAGTTCATAGCTGACATCAATGACAGTTCATAGCTGACATCAATGACATACTGCTATATAGAAAGCCCGATCTTATGCAGATAATTTCGGGCAAATTAGGTTAGTATTGTACCCAGGATGCGACCCACACCAGTCCACTAACACCCAGGTACCCATTTTACTGATGGGTGAACATAGACAGGAGGTGTCTCAGGAAAATACGTATGAATGTTTCCACCCGTACCGGGGATCGAACCACGGACCTCAGTGTGTGAGCTGGCAATCGAGTTATGGGACACCTATGGTGTTATTATAGACTTTAATGTAACTTATGGAGGTCTTAAGAAGAGGAAGATCTGGCAACACTGTGAAATACTTGTTTTTCAAGTCACTTAAAAAGTAATTTATAGAAGTAGTGACGTCATGGGTTATAAAAGTTACTTTTTTATTTGCCATCTTATTTAAGTTGTAATATCTAAGACATGATAAGAATCTGGCAACTTTAGTAACGGGACCAGGGAATTCCCCTGAGTAAGTTAGTAAGGTGTGTGGGAGCCAGGTGGGTGTGTCAGTGTGTGTGGGAGCCAGGTGGGTGTGTCAGTGTGTGTGATAGCCAGGTGGGTGTGTCAGTGTGTGTGGGAGCCAGGTGGGTGTGTCAGTGTGTGTGGGAGCCAGGTAGGTGTCAGTGTGTGTGGGAGCCAGGTGGGTGTGTCAGTGTGTGTGGGAGCCAGGTGGGTGTGTCAGTGTGTGTGGGAGCCAGGTGGGTGTGTCAGTGTGTGTGGGAGCCAGGTGAGTGTGTCAGTGTGTTTGGGAGCCAGTGGGTGTGTCAGTGTGTGTGGGAGCCAGGTGGTGTGTCAGTGGGGTGTGGGAGCCAGGGGGGTGTGTCAGTGTGTGTGATAGCCAGGTGGGGCTGTCAGTGTGTGTGGAAGCCAGGTGGGTGTGTCAGTGTGTGTGGGAGCCAGGTGGGTGTGTCAGTGTGTTTGGGAGACAGGTGGGTGTGTCAGTGTGTGTGGGAGCCAGGTGGGTGGGTCAGTGTGTGTGGGAGCCAGGTGGTGGGTCAGTGTGTGTGGGAGCCAGATGGGTGTGTCAGTGTGTTTGGGAGCCAGGTGGGTGTGTCAGTGTGTGTGGGAGGGCCCGGTGGGTGTGTCAGTATGTGTGGGAGCCAGGTGGTGTGTCAGTGTGTGTGGGAGCCAGGTGGGGTGTGTCAGTGTGTGTAATAGCCAGGTGGGTGTGTCAGTGTGTTTGGGAGCCAGGTGGGTTTGTCAGTGTGTTTGGGAGCCAGGTGGGTGTGTCAGTGTGTGTGGGAGCCAGGTGGGTGTGTCAGTATGAGTGGGAGCCAGGTGGGTGTGTCAGTGTGTGTGGGAGCCAGGTGGGTGTGTCAGTATGTGTGGGAGCCAGGTGGGTGTGTCAGTGTGTGTGGGAGCCAGGTGGGTGTGTCAGTGTGTGTGGGAGCCAGGTGGTGTGTCAGTATGTGTGGGAGCCAGGTGGGTGTGTCATTGTGTGTGGGATCCAGGAGGGTGTGTCTGTGTGTATGGGAGCCAGGTGGGTGTGTTAGTGTGCGGGAGCCAAGTAAGTCTGTCAGTGTGTGTGGGAGCCAGGTAAGTGTGTCAGTGTGTGTGGGAGCCAGGTGGGTGTGTCAGTGTGTGTGGGAGCCAGGTGGGTGTGTCAGTGTGTGTGGGAGCCAGGTGGGTGTGTCAGTGTGTGTGGGAGCCAGGTGGGTGTGTCAGTGTGTGTGGGAGCCAGGGTGGGTGTGTCAGTGTGTGTGGGAGCCAGGTGGGTGTGTCAGTGTATGGTGGGAGCCATGTGGGTGTGTCAGTGTGTGTGGGAGCCAGGTGGGTGTGTCAGTGTGTGTGGGAGCCAGGTGGGTGTGTCAGTGTGTGTGGGAGCCAGGTGGGTGTGTCAGTGTGTGTAATAGCCAGGTGGGTGTGTCAGTGTATGTGGGAGCCATGTGGGTGTGTCAGTGTGTGTGGGAGCCAGGTGGGTGTGTCAGTGTGTGTGGGAGCCAGGTGGGTGTGTCAGTGTGTGCGGGAGCTAGGTGAGTGTGTCAGTGTGTGTGGGAGCCAGGTGGGTGTGTTAGTTGTGTGTGGTAGCCAGGTGGGGGTGTCAGTGTGTGTGATGGCCAGGTGGGTGTGTCAGTGTGTGTGGGAGCCAGGTGGGTGTGTCGGTGTGTGTGGGAGCTAGGTGGGTGTGTCAGTGTGTGGTGGGATCCAGGTGGGTGTATCAGTGTGTGTGGGTGGCAGGTGTGTGTGTCAGTGTGTGTGGGAGCCAGGTGGGTGGGTCAGTGTGTGTGATAGCCAGGTGGGTGTGTCAGTGTGTGCGGGAGCCAGGTGGATGTGTCATTGTGTGTGGGAGCCAGGTGGGTGTGTCATTGTGTGTGGGAGCCAGGTGGCTGTGTCAGTGTGTGTGAGAGCCAGGTGGGTGTGTCAGTGTATGTGGGAGCCAGGTGGGTGTGTCAGTGTGTGTGGGAGCCAGGTGGGTGTGTCAGTGTGTGTTTGAGCCAGGTGGGTGTGTCAGTGTGTGTGGGAGCCAGGTGGGTGTGTCAGTGTGTGTGGGAGCCAGGTGGGTGTATCAGTGTGTGTGGGAGCCAGGTGGCTGTGTAAGTGTGTGTGGGAGCCAAGTGGGTGTGTCAGTGTGTATGGGAGCCAGCAGGATGGGTCAGTGTGTGTGGGAGACAGGTGGGTGTGTCAGTGTGTGCGGGAGCCAGGTGGATGTGTCAGTGTGTGTGGGAGCCAGAAGGGTGGGTCAGTGTGTGTGGGAGCCAGGTGGGTGTGTCAGTGTGTGCGGGAGCCAGGTGGGTGTGTCAGTGTGTGTGTGGGAGACAGGTGGGTGTGTCAGTGTGTGCGGGAGCCAGGTGGATTTGTCAGTGTGTGTGTGGAGCCAGGAGGGTGGGTCAGTGTGTGTGGGAGCCAGGTGGTGTGGTCAGTGTGTGTGTGGGAGACAGGTGGGTGTGTCAGTGTGTGCGGGAGCCAGGTGGATTTGTCAGTGTGTGTGGGAGCCAGGAGGGTGGGTCAGTGTGTGTGGGAGCCAGGTGGGTGTGTCAGTGTGTGTGGGAGCCAGGTGGGTGTGTCAGTGTGTGTTGGCGCCAGGTGGGTGGGTCAGTGTGTGTGGGAGCCAGGTGGGCGGGTCAGTGTGTGTGGGTGCCAGGTGGGTGTGTCAGTGTGTGTGGGAGCCAGGTGGGTGTGTCAGTGTGTGTTGGCGCCAGGTGGGTGGGTCAGTGTGTGTGGGAGCCAGGTGGGTGTGGGCAGTGTGTGTTGGCGCCAGGTGGGTGGGTCAGTGTGTGTGGGAGCCAGGTGGGTGGGTCAGTGTGTGTAGGAGCCAGGTGGGTGTGTCAGTGTGTTTTAGGAGCCAGGTGGGTGTGTCAGTGTGTGTGGGAGCCAGGTGGATGTGTCAGTGTGTGTGGGAACCAGGTGGGTGGGTCAGTGTGGGAACTAAGGTGGATGGGTCAGTGTGGAAGCCATGTGGGTCGGTCAATGTGAGAGCCAGGTGGGTGGGTCAGTGTAGGAGCCAGGTGGGATAGGTCAATGTGGAAGCCAGGTGGGTGGGTCAGTGTGTGTGTGTGTGTGGGAGCCAGGTTTTTGGGCCAGTGTGTGTGAGGACCAGGTGAGTGGGTCACTGTGTGCCGGAGGAAGGGGGTGGGTTAGTGTGTGGTGACCAGGTGGGTAGGTCAGTGTATATGGGGACTAGGTGGGTTGGTCAGTGTAATGTGGGAGGCAGGTGGGTGGGTTTAGTGTGTGTGGGGACCAGGTGGGTGGGTTAGTGTGTGTTCGGGCCAGGTAGTTGGGACAGTGTGTGTGAGGCCAGGTGGGTGGGTCAGTGTGTGTTGGAGCCAGGTGGGTGGGTCAGTGTGTGATATCCAGGTTTGGAGGGTGGGTTTTGGGTGGGTGGTTGGGTGGGTGTGTGGGTAGTTGGGTGGATAGTAGGTTGATGGTATGTTGAGTGGGTGGGTGGTTTAATGGATGGTTGGGCGTGTGGGTGTTTAGGAGGGCGTCTGGTTGGTGGGTGAGTGGGTGGGTGGATAGGTGTATGATTGATTGGGTGAGTGAGTGGGTAGGTGGGTAGGAGTATGGTTAGTTAAGTGGCTGGTTGGGTGGGTGAGTGGGTGGGTAGGTGAATGGTTGGTTGTGTGGCTGGTTGGGTGGGTGGGTGTGTGGGTGGGTGTGTGGGTGGGTGTGTGGGTTGGTGGGTGGATGGTTGGTTGAGTGGCTGGTTGGGTGGGTGGATGGTTGGTTGTGTGGCTGGTTGGGTGGGTGGGTGGGTGAGTGGATGGTTGGGTGGGTGGGTGGGTGTGTGGGTGGGTGGGTGGGTGGGTGGGTGGATGGTTGGTTGAGTGGCTGGTTGGGTGGGTGGGTGGGTGGATGGTTGATTGAGTGGCTGGTTGGGTGGGTGGGTGGATGATTGGTTGAGTGGCTGGTTGGGTGGGTGGGTGGATGGTTGGTTGAGTGGCTGGTTGGGTGGGTGGGTGGGTGGATGGTTGATTGAGTGGCTGGTTGGGTGGGTGAGTGGATGGTTGGTTGAGTGGCTGGTTGGGTGGGTGGGTGGGTGGGTGGGTGGGTGTGTGGGTGGGTGTGTGGGTGGGTGGGTGGGTGGGTGGGTGGGTGGGTGGGTGGGTGGGTGGGTGTGTGGGTGGGTGGGTGTGTGTGTGGGTGAGTGAGTTAGCTTTGGGTGAAAGAAAGCTCTCTCTAAGAAGATGAAAGCGGGCCACTGACTGGAAAGTTGTGGAGAAGAGAGAACTCACCTTATGGAGTTGAGTTCCGTTCTCTGGTGTTTTTTGTAGGTGAGATCGGGAATGAGCGCCAGGTGGGAGATCTGCACACATGCCCACCCGAACTGGAAGACGCAGACGAAGAAACAGTAGTAGGCGAACTGTGCCCACATGTCTGCATCCTGGCAGCCCAGACAACTATTGAAGATGAAGGGAAAACTCAGGAAGACCAGAAGTGTACCTGTGGAATGCCAGGAATCATCAATACATACACACACACACACATTATATATTATATATATATATATATATATATATATATATATATATAATATATATAATATATATATATATATATATATATATATATATATATATATATATATATATATATATATAGTTATTATTATTATTCTTCAAACTATCCTGCATAAATGTTAAATAAATAATTAGGTTTTGCTGTGTCCTACTTACCTAACCTAATCATTCTATATGGTGCTTTTGATTCTCGCTAACTTAATCAGTCTGCGTGATGGGTGTTCGATAAAGTTAGTTCTTGCTCTCAGCCTAACCCAGGGTAACCACTAACCCAGGGTAACCACTAACCCAGGGTAACCACTAACCCAGGGTAACCATTGTGTGTCAGATGTGCTGGATAAGCATAACTTTACATAATATAACTTTGTAAAATGGGGTCCACCTCTGGTGTAAATTGTGGGACCCATAGCCTCGGAGAGTGGATAAAAAGGCTTCAAGGAAAAATATTTGGATTTCTTCCTGAAGCCGTTTGAATATTCCACTTCCCCTACCACCCCATCTTTTTATATTTTTTTTTTTTTTTTTTTACTAATAGGAATATTTTATTACATAATATGGTACAGAAGATCCAAGAGATACACTATTGATATAAAGGTGGCATATACGGTACATGTTGTTACGTGTGTATCACCGATTATAAGGCGAAAATCTCATCCAGCTCCTCAGAGCTGGGGCGTGTGCCCAAAATACAGCAGGCATTACCCCTTTGAACAGCCGCACTGAGCCGCTGGAACAGAAAACTAGCTGCCCTGGGATCCCTAGTTACCCTGATGAGTCTTTTTCCCAGCTCCTTAGGAATTTAGATGCACTCTTTCCCCATGAGCCAAGGGTCTCTGAGCCTATGGGAACAAACATATAATGATGGGCAAGTTCTCCATATTTTCTAGACTTTTGGGACTCCCTGAAGCTGGCAGCTGCCCCTCCTTCCTCCCTGGTGTATTGGAGATAGGTATCAGCCAAGGTAGATGCACATGTATAGTCCCACACCACCTGCTTCCCATCTGTCCAGGCTTGAAGGGTGATACCATCTGGACGCTTCTGGCTGCCATCAGATCTGCATAGTTGGGGTGGCTCCCTTACTGCTGGGCATCCAGCTGTTGTGAGGCTCCTCTTGATAATGTTATTAACCTCCTCATGTCTTGCAATCTTTCCCTCGGATTTACGGCACACAAGACCATGGTACCCGAATCGGTCTGCTGCTTCACTGCCACAAATACACCTGTGTTCGGCGAGAATAGGGGCGGCAAGTCGAAGGGCAACACCGATGCGGATGGTCTGTGGGTCGAGACGTGTGCCAAGGCTGGAGTTGGGAACAGCCAACAGAAAGTCCCCAGCATGAGGGGCTCTCACTGCCAGGAGGCGGGCTCTATCCTTCCCTGACACACTCTGAAGCATTGTTGAGGCAATATTTTCCACTATTGGACCATCCCAGTGCGATTGTTTGTAGTTGTTGGGGGGAGCAGGTCTGGCTCCAGAGCCCGTTAGATTATCCCAGATCATTGCTTTGTAAAATATCACATAGTGTCAAATAGCTACACAATGACTCACGAAATCGTAATAGGACAAGTGTTAGAACCATGAACTGCTAATTTTAAAATTGGCTTGTCATGGTTCGAATCGTCTACGATCCAACGGTAGTTACGAGAGGTGGCGCATCTTATAGTGATATAAAAACAGAGGATCACAATGTTTCAGCTATTCTCAGCCATCTCGTATCTTATCAAACATTTCCAAGTTTTTATTATGTAAATAAATAGTTGATAAAGAGCTACTATAGACGTAATACCGTTACTGTCAACAGTATAAGGCAGTGGCTATGAAGGGGCTCCAGGAGACCAGTGGCTATGAAGGGGCTCGAGGGGACCAGTGGCTATGAAGGGGCTTGAGGAGACCAGTGGCTATGAAGGGGCTCGAGGAGACCAGTGGCTATGAAGGGGCTTGAGGAGACTAGTGGCTATGAAGGGGCTCGAGGAGACCAATGGCTATGAAGGGGCTCGAGGAGACCAGTGGCTATGAAGGGGCTCGAGGAGACCAGTGGCTATGAAGGGGCTCGAGGAGACCAGTGACTATGAAAGGGCTCGAGGAGACCAGTGGCTATGAAAGGGCTCGAGGAGACCAGTGGCTATGAAAGGGCTCGAGGAGACCAGTGGCTATGAAGGGGCCCGAGAGGACATAACAAAGATTTACAATTTAAGATTACCTCAAAAATATTTTCCATGTAAATGCGACGAGGCTTCACCCTCCCAACCTTCCTTCAGGGTCAATAAGTCAAGGACATGTGGTACGCTGCCCTGCCGCCTCACTACACACCTAACAAAGGAACTCTTACTGGATTTCTCCACTCACACAGAGGTAAATGACCACACTAACGAGGAAGAACGTTGTGTAAATATTTCCAAGTTGGAAATAATAAATATTATCAACGTGGAACAATATGCAAAGATCATCGGAGGGTAGGGATCGTGGGAAGATCTTAGTGTACTGGCTGTTCCATTCAGGTACATCAAGTACTGGAGTCACGTGATGTACCTGATAAAGACTATGAAAGTTTGTGAAGCTTTAAATTTCATAGTATAGTGCATGTTTCTTCTTTAACCTCCCTGTAGAAATATTGCCAACAGACATTTTCTGCGTCATCTCTCCTAGAACAAAAAAAGAGTGAATTATATTCGTTGCTGCCTGATGAACAGCAACAATGTTTCCAGGTGATATTTTCTTACGATATTTCCAGAGCCAGTTTGTAAAGTAAAAGGACACAAGTGCAACTAATGTGACATTTTATTGTGGCAACGTTTCGCTCTCCAGGAGCTTTGTCAAGCCGTTACAAACAGTACATGGACACAGAGGGTATATATTGGCTCATAGTGAGGTGCAATACTTGTAGTAGTAGTAGTAGTAATAGTGGCATAAGTTGTAGTAGTAGTAGTAGTAATAGTGAGATAAGTTGTAGTAGTAGTAGTAGTAGTAGTAGTAATACAATATGTTAGAACAATTAACTTGCACATGAGTAAAAGGATATAAAAGCTATTACTTGGAAAACATAAAAATAGGCTGGATAGAGGCAGCCTGTTTCAATGTTCATTCTCTGTAATGTGCTTGTGTAGTATTAACAGGAGAGACTGTGTGATGGCAGGGTTTACTGTTTTCAGGAGGATTCTTGCTAAGACTTTCAGAGATGATGAAGCTGCCTTTGTTTTGTTTAATTGTATTCGAAACAGCGATCAGTGCTGATTCGAGGCACTTGCGTCTGCGGAAATTAGTGTAAACTCCTGCGTTGACTGGCTCGCAGGACCCTATGTCTAGCCCTTATACAATGCCATATGGATTACGCTTGCTCTTCTTGGTACTCTGCCTTGACAAAAAAACTGAAAGATAGACTGCAAATCACCCAGAACAAAATCGTAAGATTCATCCTGGGGCTGGGACCAAGAGAACATGTAGGCCAGGATGAATTACAGCAGTTGGATATGCTGAATGTTGAAGACAGAGTAAAACAACTGAAGCTAAATCATGTTTATAAAATTGCTCACAAACAATGTCCAGAATATCTTGCTGTCAATTTTGTCAAGGTTGGGAACCAAAGCAATCATAGTACTAGGGGGAGAGAGCACAACGTTGTAGTACCCACAGTCAGTGGCCAGGCTTCAAACACCTTTTATTGTACAGCAATAAAGGAATGGAACAGACTACCCGCACATGTCAAAGCCAGTCACAGCGTGAACCAGTTCAAGAAGAGTGCCAAAAGGTGTCTGATGAATGAAACTACAGAAAGGGAGGGGAATGATTTTCTATTTTTTAGCTAACATACGTGTAAATTTTACCTTATTCCTTGTAATGACCCTCGTATTGTAGATAGTCTTAATGACCCTCGTGTAGTAGATAGTCTTTTTAGTATGATAATAAGATGTTATCTTCATTATAGAATAATAAGAAAATATTATAACCTTTATACTATAATAATAAGGTAAAAGGACCCCAATGGAAATAAGTCACTCTGTCTGACTTTTTTGGGTTATCCTAGGTTCTCTACACATATGCTGCTATGTATGATAATTCTATGTAACTGTATTTGTGTATACCTGAATAAACTTACTTACTTACTTACTTGCCGTGCTGGATTTTGTTCTGGTTAGATCCTTTATCGAAGTGCTGGAAGCGATGGCAACTCTGGTGTTAGCACCAACACCACTCCCACCAAAGTTATAATTCTTCCCAACAGCCAGGTTGCACTGAACGTTTCTAAAGTACTTTCACAAGCTAACACCAGAGTTGCCATCGCTTCCAGCACTTCAATAAAGGATCTAACCAGAACAAAATCCAGCACCACGAACCATATATATATATATATATATATATATATATATATATATATATATATATATATATATATATATATATATATATATATATATATATATATATATATATATATAGTTATTATTATTATTCTCAAACTATCCTGCATAAATGTTAAATAAATAATTAGGTTTTGCTGTGTCCTACTTACCTAACCTAATCATTCTATATGGTGCTTTTGATTCTCGCTAACTTAATCAGTCTGCGTGATGGGTGTTCGATAAAGTTAGTTCTTGCTCTCAGCCTAACCCAGGGTAACCACTAACCCAGGGTAACCACTAACCCAGGGTAACCACTAACCCAGGGTAACCACTAACCCAGGGTAACCATTGTGTGTCAGATGTGCTGGATAAGCATAACTTTACATAATATAACTTTGTAAAATGGGGTCCACCTCTGGTGTAAATTGTGGGACCCATAGCCTCGGAGAAGTGGATAAAAAGGCTTCAAGGAAAAATATTTGGATTTCTTCCTGAAGCCGTTTGAATATTCCACTTCCCCTACCACCCCATCTTTTTATATTTTTTTTTTTTTTTTTTTTACTAATAGGAATATTTTATTACATAATATGGTACAGAAGATCCAAGAGATA